TCGTAAAATACAACATAATTAATAAAGGAAGATGTACATTCATTGCGCGACTTGAAAATATTTATTATCTCGGGGAAAATCTTGAATATGACGGCAGTAATAAACACACTATTGTCATATGAAATGTACTCAGGTGGTGCAATAAATGCACAACACTCGATTATTTCTTTTTTTCACACTTTTTTTGTATTTTCTACTATATTCACACCTATAAGTATGTGTATCTTGTAAATCATTTATGTCAAGTAAGTTATCACGTTAGGAAGAACACGACTAGTTCTCTCCATTACTCCCTCTCCTTCCGAAGATATTTCACAAAATGAAACCAAAAAGTTAACCTAAGTGAGTATATACTGGCAATTATTTGCCTTCGATTTTCATTGTGTCGCCATTGTGAACAAGGGCTCGGTTAACGACCAGGGTCTTTTGACCATTAGGTCCAAGATCATTTATTTATGCAATTAATGCTAAAATTTGTCTATCTGAGCTCCTCCTTGCTAGAGTCTACATTTCATTATCAAAATGGGGGTCATTGCTCTTTTGTGTTTAGTTTGGCTTATGCCCTTGACTCTTGGTGCCAGTAGTAAGGGTAATGTGTGGTAAAATTGAAGGGAGAAAATAGCCATTGTTATTTGCAATATTAACCGAGATGCTTAAATCTGTCTGAGAATCTATACACATCTTATCTGATTATGCACTTCCACCACTTGGTACAATAATGACCTCTGATAATTCCTTAAACGATACCAGTAAAGTGCATAAAATAGATCCGTTGTTAATATGATCCCTAGGCAAAACAGTTATTTTCATTTGGTTACAAGTATTTCATCTACCTTTATTTTCAATTAGTAGCTCACATATAAACTAACAGCTGAGGAAAGGATGAACGAATAAAATGTTAGGGTCTTCTTTTGAGTGCTGGAGCTGCACTTTTTATAACGTTATTCAATTATTTATTAAAGAAAGTAATCTTGATTATTTCTCTTATGGTTTAGAAACAACGGTGAAGCAGATTGAAGATGCTTTTAAGGAATTCACCACAATAGAAGATATTGCAATCGTGTTAATCAGCCAATATGTAAGTTCTTTGCTAGTTTCCCGTTGTGAGTTTGATATGTGAGTCCTTTATATCATCAAGAAAGTTATCAACAGTTTGCTGATTACGCCTTCACCTGAAGAAGTATTCAAGCGCTGCAATGAGTGTTGCGTCATCTGACTAATCAACTGCTACTTATATCATTGAGAATATGGACAGTTGGAATTTGTTTAGTTTGTTGAATGTCAGCTGCAAATTTGATTGATCAAAAGCATAGTTCATCCGAAATACGTAATTAGTGACCAAACCTCAAGTGCTCTTGAGCCAAAGCAAGCTGGGATGAGAGACTTGCATGACTGACTTATAAAGTGCGATATGCTATTTGGGAAGGCTAAGCTTCCAAGTACAATCTGTGCCTGTGATGGTTCTATCAATTCCTTGTCTAATCTCTAGCTAAAACCAAGGATTCTCAAAAGCAAAGAAATTAATCATTGCGAAATACCATTTGAAGCCTACTTTATATATCTCCGATATTTAACACTAAAAGTTGGAGGGGCAGGAGAACAAAAGTTGGGTAAAAGTTGGAGGGTTAGGAGGAGGTGTAAGAGGGAAAGCGAATCTTGGTCTGGGTAGGAAAGGCGAGTTCACCGCTTCTGTCCAATTTCAGACTGGCTCAGAAACCAGGCTAAGGGCAAAAGATTNCCCCATGTTAAACACAGTTAAGCTGTTGAATAACTATTCCGGTTTAGTACTTCCCTTCTGAAAGCAGTCCTCAAGTATTGTTGTCTGTGGATACGATACAGTGTGGAATATGTGCTGATATGGTCCTTTTATTTTTTTGACGTTGCAATTCAGTCTTGTAATAGATATCAGCATGAACTAGTTCTTCAACTAAAGTTTGTCTAATATGGTAAAGGATTTTTTCTATTCAAGTGAGAATATTATGTGCTTTATATATGCATTTAAAAGGTAGCTGGTGGCACCTTCTTCCTTCTATTTGTAGTTGCACTAAGTAGAACCAGGTTCCGAAAGAGGTTAAATCTGTGCTACCTAATTTTACCACTCATTGGGTCTCTCTTTTTTAGGTTGCCAACATTATAAGATTTTTGGTTGATAGCTACAACAAACCAATTCCAGCCATTCTGGAGATTCCTTCAAAGGACCATCCATATGATCCTGCCCATGACTCTGTTCTTTCACGAGTAAAGTATCTCTTCTCTACTGAATCAGTGGCATCTGGAAGGCGTTGATGACGGTTTATGTTTCAACATGCCCCAATCATTCAATTCATATCTGAATGTCGTAGTCTATGTCACCTTGTGCTCGTTTGCAATCTTATGTTATTTTTTACTTTAAGTTATCTTTTCTGACAACTTGTTGAAAGCAGTTTCTAAGAATTACTCTATGAGAGTGAATAACCTCGTTATAAACAAGTCAGAAGTTGATGTGATTATTATTCTTGATGAATAATTTAGCAATGTTTCTTATGTAGTGAATGTCTTTTTGGCTTTTTTAGTTTCTAAAATTTTGTTCCCAGATTTACTTATTTTGGCCATTATTTTGACCTTACCCGTAATCTTGAGATCTTTCATCAACCATCACTATTTCAAGTCATGTCTACTTTTGTTCACATCACATGGGAAAGTGGCAACACTAGAGTGGAAAAAAAAAGGTCCTAATACAAAAACACTAGGTGATCTCTTCCCATTTGTCCAAACTTGGTGAACTGAGTTAGTCAGTACTTGTGTTAGTGGAAGACAGTCAGTATCCTGTGAAATTAGTCGAGATGCTTACAAGGTGAAAATTCTCGTACCGATTCAAGGCTCCCAATGTGCACGCCCAATGAAAGAAACGGTTTTGGCAGGTCGGCCAGTATTTTGAAAATATACTCTAACCTATCCCATGCCAGAAAACATATCATTGTAAGATTTGTTTTCTCTTTACCTATATTTGCTTCACTTTAGAAACTCCTTTTTACTGAATTTCACAATGGAAGCAGCCTAAGGTTAGGTCCTTCTATTTCGTCAAAACAAGTAACAAGTTTTTTTTCTTTTTTCAATTCTAGTTTATCCTCCATTTTGTTTGTCATACTAAATGTTTTGTAACCGAAACTACGGGTTCTGAAAAAATTATCATTTAAAGTACGTTCAATAAGTCTGTAAACAAGTCTGTAAACATATAGTACTTTAAAACAATGATGTCACAGCCAAAGTACTGGCACGTATTGTTTGCTTTGATCTAGTAGATTTTATATAGATTTATCCCTTCGAGTACGCCAGAATGAGCCAAAAAGTCCTCTACTATTTGATCTTGTTCTCCCTCAAATATAGCGCAAGACTTTCCCTCTTTTTTGGCGGTGAAATCTACTTAAGTCTCACATTACTTGTCCTTCGAAAGCATGTTAACTTAGAAGCCCGTCAATCTTTGACCCGCTCTTATCAAGAGTCCTTTGTCAGGTGTGTTAGGATCGAAATAATAAGGTGTATGCGGAAGCTAGTAAGCTTCCATTTATCATAAAAGCCGAATATATTGATGTCACAGAAGGTGCCAAAGAACTATTATTGATAAAGGAGTTTATTAATGATATTGGCTTTGAGCAACCTAGGTACATCTTATTTTGTGATAATCAGAGTGCTATCTGTCTCACCAAGCACTCCACTTTTCATTCTAAGACCAAACAAATAAATAGAAAGTATCATTGGATAAGAATGGTCGTGGAAGAGAAATTATTTGAAGTTGAGAAGATACACACTGATGAAAATCTTTCGGATATGCTGATAAAAGTGGCAAATAAGCATGCGTTTTGTAAAAAATTGGCAGGCATGAAGCCTGACAATAGTTCCTCTACTTGAAAACATATTTGGCCCCTTGGCTAGAGGGGGAGTTTGTTGGGCTCATGTCCATGTTGTCCAGTCAAAGGCCCAATGCCTAATCCTATTCTCTTTTGATTTCCATTCCTATTCGGAATTGGATTCGGTTTTTATTCCTATTCAGAATTGATTTTGGCTTTAAGAGAAGCACCACTCATTATCTATAAATAGGACAACATTGAAAAATTATTCCATGCTCATTGATATAAGTCTTTGAAAGACTTTAGCACATAAGAGTAGTTTTTGAGAGAGCTTTCATCAAGAGAGAAGAGAGAAGAAAAAGTGTTTGTTTTGCTACAGATTTTTGTTCCGACCAGCCAACTTCAAATCATGGATTCTCATTCATTAACTGTTGGATCGGCCTGACATTTTGACCGAGTGTTCGTAACATCTTGGTCTTTGATTTGAACGGTGGAGATCGAATATAGAGGCTCGTAGCATCCAATTTCGAGCCCCGAACAACAGCTCTTTTTCCTACAAGAAAAGGGACTAGCCAAATATGAGAGATTTATAATTTTCTTCTATAAGAAGGAAAATCCAATTATGGTAAACATGTTGCCCTTTCCTTTAAGATATAGGAAAATCCAATATGGTAAAAAAATCACGACAACACCTAACAATACTCCCTCATATTAATTTAGCATCCTTGCTAAGATTTACCCCACCATCATACTGTTACGACAGTTCGCGACACACATTATTTAATTTGGCCCTTTAGACTTCATAGATTTCTTCTTTGAGCAACATCATATTGATCCCAAAGTCGAATATACTACTTTGAATTTGTTCTATATCATATTTAATCCAAGCTCCCCTAGTTGTGGGATTCACGTAAAGTATCTAATGCACCTCTTCTTTGAAGATCACAAATGTATGTAGTGACACTCTTTAGATTTATATAACAACATTTAAAAATTTCATGTAATTCTTCTGCAAAGCTAATAGGAGTGTATACACTACAAAAAATCGGAAAATTAACGGCGGTTTTAAAATGGCAGCTTATTTGAACCACTGTAATAAGCAAAACGTTATGGCGTTAGTTCAACAACTATATTATTTATTTGAAAAATGGCGGTTAAGTGTATAATATGGCGTAATCAGACCGCTGCTACCTTTATTTCTATCAGGCACTAATCTCACCCTAAAAGATAGAACCCCCTCTGTCACTCTCCCTATCCCTCCCACCGATCTGGCGCATCCAGCGAATCCGTCATCTCTCTTCTCTTAATCTCTTCTCCTAAGGCCCTCGATTGGAAACTGAGTGATGTAGCTTTCGAACGGGAAGCTTCTGGTCTCCAATCACCAACCTTCGTCACGCGAATCTAGAGTTTCATCGTTGGTTTGCTTTGCTCTGTTAACTCCTAACTCCAAATAAGCAAGGTCCTCTCTACTTTTCCCTCATTTTCCCAATGTATTGATTATGGATTCATTTGGATCTAGGGTTTCATAGTGATTTTCTTTTCTCTGTCAATATAATTGTTGGATATGCGCTTTTCTTGCTTTCTTTTATGTAAAAAAAATTGTACTGATCTAAGGAAAAGTTTAATTTATTTCTGAAACTTGGTTGATTGAAGTAGGAGTTGTGCGTGAAGTAGAGCTTTTTATGGCCGTCTACTGCTATATCCTATAACTGATCTATATAATTATTTTGGTCAAAGGATTCGATTGTTTCAAAGGAGTAATTGTAGTGTCATTTAGGTGACATGAGAATTACATTTCTGCGGGCAAAGAAAATACCAATTGTTACTTCTTTACCCTTTTCCTCATCTTCTGCAAGTTTATGTGGCATTCTATTTCTAGTTTACTTTTTATCACTAAATGAATTTTTTTTATTAATGATATTATCAATAATTTTTCCTTATTTTAGCCTGGGAATTGCTGAAATTATATAATTAGTGATTTAATTAAATCAAGCATTGTTTTAGTGAAAATTAGGTGCTTTTTTATTTTTCTTAATATATTGTGCTTGTTTTGCTGTGCCGACACCATTATTACAGTGAGGTGAAATGGCTGTTTGTTTTGGTTCAGTGGTTGTGCAATCCGTGCTACTTTCAGCGTTATGACTTTGCGAGCTTCACTGTACATGGATGAGTCTTAATTGATTATATTGATTGAATCAAGAGCTTTGTGTGGTATTTTTTGGTCATTTATATATTCTCTTATGTGAGTTATGAAGTGCTATTGTAGGTCTTTCTCTTCTTTTAAATAGGCATACTTGGCAACATGAATTGACTTAAATTTACTGATTCAAATATGTTCTTTTCATATATGTTTAATGTACTTGAATTAAATTTAGTATTCATTTTTTTTTAGATTTTATCATTGGTATCTGGTTTTTATTACACTTTTGAGTAATCTTTTTTACATATGTTTAGTTTACTGGATTGGAAAAATTTATAGGCTCTAACACCGAATGGATCTTCCCTTCTTAATCATACAGAAGCGTGAGCCCATACGCTGGAAATATTACACAAAAGAATTGGTCCTCGGCTCCTCGCTTCGTAGACATGTACTAAGAGGCATGTGAAAGTATGTGAGGCATCAGATTTCTTTTCAGTTTACAATCTTTTCATTACTCGTTGGTTGGCTGTCACGACCCAAAATCTCACCCGTCGTGATGACACCTATCTCAATACTAGGCAAGCCAAAAATCTTAACAAACCACAATTTCTCTTAAGATTGAAAATATAATATTTAAATACAATACAAACACCTCCCAAAATCTGGTGTCACTGAGTACATGAGCATCTAATATGAATACAAGTCTGAAAAATACTCATACTATAATAGTCTGAGACCAAATACGATAAACAAAGAGATAGAGAAGGAGAGACAAGGTCTGCGGAACACGACAGCTACCTCAAAATCTCCTGAAAATTAACCGCGCGAAAGGATCAACACCCGCTATGTGCGGGAACACCTGGATCTGCACATGAAGTGCAGGGTGTAGTATGAGTACAACCAACTTAGCAAGTAACAATAATAAATAAGAAACTGAATATAGTAACGAGCTACACAGTTATGGTTAATTTCGAGTAATTCCAGCAAAGAATAAACATGCTATCAAATCTGGCAGATTAATGTCACATCAATTTTTATACAGTTCCTGTTCATGTAATCTGTATATGAACAATCTTTCAGAGATTTCATAATAATGACAGATAACAACTAAGTGCAACAACAAATGGAAATCAAGTACAACCTCTTAGGACAATAATCACTCACTGGGCTCCCAGCCCTCACCACTCCCTGGGCTCCCAGCCCTCATCACTCTCTCAATGGGTACCAACGCTCACTAGGGGTGTACAGACTCCTAAGGGGCTCCTACAGCCCAAGCGCTATAATCTGCACGGACAACTCACGTGCCATAATATAAATATCAGGATCTGCACGGCCAACTCACGTGCTACACGGCCAACTCACGTGCTATAGTATAATATAAGGATCTGCACGGCCAACTCACGTGCTACACGGCCAACTCACGTGCTATAGTATAATATAAGGATCTGCACGGCCAACTCACGTGCTGTAGTATAATATAAGGATCCGCACAGCCAACTCACGTGATGTAGTATAATATAAGGATCTGCACGGCCAACTTACGTGCTGTAGTATAATATAGGGATCTGCACAGCCAACTCACGTGCTATAGTATCAATATCTCACAATCAGGCCCTCGGCCTCACTCAGTCATAAATCTTTCCAGTCTCTCGGGCTCTCAATAATCATGAAATCAGCCCAAACAACAATGATATGATGTATCAATAATAATAACAGAGACTGAGATAAAAGGTGCAAGTAAAAACTGAGACTGAGTACATATAGCATTTAGCAGGCAATTCAACAAGTACGCGACCCCTGTGGGTCCCAACAGTACTATCACATAGCCTAAGCATGATTTATAATATGATTTACAGTCAAATTTTATCAACACATAGAGAGCATATAGCTAAAAATAAATTATTCAACTTTACAGCTTCCCGGGACGGACCAAGTCACAATCCTTTCGGTGCACGCCCATACGCCCGTCACCTAGCATATGCGTCACCTTCAAAATAATCACATAATACCAAAATCCGGGGTTTAATACCCTCAGGACCAGATTTAAAACAGTTACTTACTTCAAGCCGTGAAATTCTTATTCTGCAATGTCCTTTCCTCATGAATTGGTCTCCAGATGCCTCGAATCTGGTCATAAATAATTCGTTTCAGTCAATAAAATTCATTGAAATTAATTACATAAGAAAATAATGATTTTTCATAAAAATTCAAAAATTAGTTCAAAAGTCGTCCGTGGGGCCCACGTCTCGGAACTCGACAAAACTTACAAAATTCGAAAGCCCATTCAACCATGAGTCTAACCATACCAATTTTTATCAAAATCCGATCCCAACTCGACCCTCAAATCTTCAATTTAAACTAAGAGGGTTTTCAAACTTTTTCAACTTAATTCACCAATTAAATGATAAAAACAACCATGGATTCGGATAATTTAACCAATATTGAGTTAAGAACACTTACCCCGTTATTTTCCTTGAAAAACTCCCGAAAATCGCCTCTTCCCGAGCTCAAATCCGTCAAAAATTCAGAACTTAAACTCTCTGCTCAAACATTTGCTCTACGCGATCGCGAAAATTCCCACGCGATCGCGAAGAACAATTTTCCATCACCCAGATTTTACTTTACGCGATCGCGGACTTTCCCACGCGATCGCGATGCACATCATCACAGACATACGCGATCGCGGACTAGTCCACGCGATCGTGAAGCACAAAATGCGTGACTTCTACTCCGCTCCACTTACTCTATGCGAACGCGACCTTCTTCATGCGTTCGCGAGTCACAAAATTCCAGAGCTACGTGATCGCATCCTGCTTCATGCGATCGCGAAGCACAAAATGCCACTGCCTCACAATAACCCTACGCGATCGCAGATATCCCCACGCGATCGTGTAGAATAAAAACCCCCACTGACCAAATAAGCCTACGCGATCGCAGACGCATTCACGCGATCGCGTAGAAGGAAAACATCATCAGATATTAGAAAATTCCAGCAGCTGTTCAAGTCCAAATTTTTGATCCGTTAACCATCCAAAACTCACACGAGCCCCTCGGGACCTCGACCAAATATACCAACAAGTCCTAAAATATCATACGGACTTATTCAAACCCTCAAATCACCTCAAACAATGCTAAAACCATGAATTACACCCCAATTCAAGCCTAATGAACTTTGAAATTTCTAATTTCTACAAATGACTCCGGAACCTACCAAATCACGTCCGATTGACCTCAAATTTTGTACACAAGTCATAAATGACATAACAGAGGTATTCCAATTTTCAGAATCGGATTCCGACCCCGATATCAAAAAGTCAACCCTTCGGTCAAACGTCTCAAAAATTAAACTTTCGGCATTTCAAGCCTAATTCCTCTACGGACTTCCAAACAATATTCCGGACACGCTCCTAAGCCCAAAATCACCATACAGAGCTATTGGAATCATCAAAATTCAAATCCGAGGTCTTTTATACATAGGTCCATATCCGGTCTACTTTTCTAACTTAAATTTTCAATTATGAGACTAAATGTCCCATTTCTCTCTGAGTTCTTTCTAGACCCGAACCAACTAACCCAATAAGTCATAAATCAATTGCAAGACATAAATTGAGTAGTAACTGGGGGAACGGGGTTATAATATTCAAAATGACCGGCCGGGTCATTATATTCTCCCCCGTCTTAAACAAACGTTCATCCTCGAACAGGTTTAGAATAATACATGAAGTCTCAAATAAGTGTGGATATTTATTCCGCATCTCCTGCTCAGCCTCCCAAGTAGCTTCTCCGACTGGCTGGCCTCTCCACTGCACCTTCACTGATGCTATGTTCTTTGACCTCACCTTTCGAATCTGTCGGTCTAAAATAGCCACCGGCTCCACATCATAAATCAAATTACTGTCCAGCTGTACTGTATTGAAATCCAGAATGTGAGACAGATCCCCGACATACTTTCGGAGCATGAATACATGGAACACTGGATGAACACCTGATAGACTAGGTGGCAAAGCAAGTTCATAAGCCACCTCCCCAATTTTCTTAAGTATCTCAAAAGGCCCAATATACCGAGGGCTCAACTTGCCCTTTTTCCCGAAACTCAACATACCCTTCATGGGTGAAATCTTGAGCAGAACCTTCTCCCCAACCATGTGAACAACATCACGAACCTTCCTATCGGCATAACTCTTCTGTCTAGACTATGCCGTGCGAAGCCGTTCCTGAATCACTTTGACATTCTCTAAAGCATCCTGAACTAAGTCAGTACCCAATAGCATAACCTTACCCAGCTCAAACCAACCCACCAGAGACCGACACCGTCTCCC